GAGAGTGCTTTGGGGTTCCAAGGATAAGCTATCCTCCCACTGCAGGAAGGCGAAGGCAGCCCTGGGGAGCAGAGGAGGGCTGAGAATGAGGCTGGGAACACTCAGAGAATGTGCCTGCTCATAACTGGTTTATGTTGTGTGTTTCTCCACATCCCAGTGTCTTTCTGAGGGGCCCAATCCTTCACACAGGTTTTATCTGGATGGTCCCACCAGCCTCCAGCTCAGCTGTGAGCAGTGCTGGGGTGCAGGAGGACAAAGCAGTAGAGGGCAGCCCCTCGACCTCAGCCCACTCTCCGGGTCAGTGCCTTTGGGAACCTCTGGCGTTCCCGTGGTCTACTCAGCAGCCTCAGGCCTGACACTTACTGGAGATCTGCGAGCCAAGTTGGGAGTTGTTTTTAGTTCCTTTCATCATTTAGCTGCACACTGCTTTCTATACCATTTTAATAACCTGTTTATTTCTTTTAAATACTTTATTTAAGTACTTTATTTTTCCACAAACTGCTATTAATATAATATTTTCTTTTCTGTTTCTTCAGTTTAATAAACTGGGTGCTGGGGCCCCAGGTCCCAGCTGAGAGCTGTGAGGCAGCCCAAGCAAAGAAGGCTGGCTGCTCTGCCCTCTCTGATTGGACCCCCAAGTCTCCTTACTAGATGCATCTTGTCCCCAGTGACCCCCTCCTGACTCTGAAAAACTTCTGTCTGTGGAATTCAGAAGCCCTTAGGCCAGAATTCCTTCCCAGGGTGATAATAACACCTCTGAACCAAGGAGATGATAGTAACTCTTATTATGTTTATAATTATTAATAAAAAGGTAATAGTTGCTCATTATCAAGAAATGCAAATACAAAGGGTATGAATTTGAAAAATGTATGTCCCCCAACTCCCCCAAACTCTGCTTCAGACTCAGAGTAACATTGTTAACATATGCATGGAAAATGCACATACCCATTTAAAATTTGGTAGATAATGTCAAATTGTCCCCTCCAAACCACTAGGCTAATTTATATTCCTACCAACAGCTTCATCCACACCCTTACCAGCACAGCAGGGAGTCTAAGCCAGACCTTTTGAAATTCTGTCTGTATAAGCCTGCCCCTGCCCTGCACCCCTCATCACCCCTTCTTAGGTTGTTTGGATTCAGGAAATGCGGTTGAGGTGAGTGCTTGTCCATTAAGCACAGGAGCTGCACGTCCTTGCTGGGTGAAGCTCCTGCTCTGGGCCCACCCCCAGGCAGGCTGCAGGCTGTCACCTAGCAAGTCCAGCTTCCTCAGCACAGGCCAAGGGGTTCCCTTTAGCTCAGCACAAGCAGTAACTTACCCACTCAAGCAGGAGACCCCCAGACATGCTTGAGAATGGGCGAGTGCCTTCTTGTTCACATGGGCAAGCAGCCACTGAGCATCAAGTATAAGTCACACATGAAGGTCCATCTGGATTTTTCCCAAATCCTAACTCCTTCCCAGCAGGGACAGGCAGAGCCTTCTCCTCCACACTCTCCCGCCACATCTGATAACATTGCACTAATCTGGGGACTGTTCCCAGTAGTGTGTGCACCCAGCCTGGGGCTGTGGTTAGGATCGGGGCTCTCCCTGCCAGCCTGCCACAGTGGAGTGATCAGGCTGTCAACATTGTCAGTTCAGAGATACTCCATCTGCAGGCGAGAGAGACAGATGGGAAGGTTAAGCTGACACTAAGGTGTAGCTGTCGGGTGGGACGAGGCGGCAGCAGCGCCAGAGAGAAGGGAGGGGAGGGTGGAGCCGGCTGGCATGAGGCCCTCAGGCACCCTCAGACCTGGGCGCCAGCTACCTCGTCAGGGCCCAGCGGCTGGTCGAAAGGTGAGAACTAGCGGCCATCCCAGACAACTGGTTTGACTACTTCCTCTCTGAGTTAACTGACTATGTGTCTTTGAGCAAAAAAATAGTCCTGGTGGACTATTTCCGGTGGTCCTGTGGTTAAGAGTCCTGCTTCTCACCTCAGAGGGCACAGGTTGAATCCCTGGTCAGCGAACTAAAATCCTGCATGCAATGTGGCATGGTCAAAAACAAAAACAAAAAGTGTGCTAAGTTTCATTACTTGAAACTTAAGACAGACTTCACCCTCTTCTTCAGATGGTGTGGCTCTGAAGGAGCCGCCACAGAGGGAGATGTTAGTGGGCCATGGTGCCAGGTGCCTGGATAAATCATCTAGGGTCTGCCTGTTGTGGTGGGTGAAGGGGTCTTTGACAGGGCAAGAGGCCCGTTATACCCCGGCTGCCCTCAAAAGGATCAAAAGACCTCCTTTAGAAAGAGGCGATTTGAGGACTTCCCTGGTGGTCCCGTGGTTGAGAATCCACCTGTCAATACAAGGGACACAGGTTCGATCCCTGCTCTGGAAAGATTCCACACGCCGCAGAGCGGAGAAGCCCATGCACCACAACTGCCGAAGCCCTCACACCCTAGGGCCGGAGCTCCCCAGCAAGGGGAGCCACCACAATGCCCGCACACCTCAACTAGAGCGTAGCCCACGCGCGCTGCAACTGGAGAAAGCCCACACGCAGCAAGGAAGACCAGAGCGGCCAAAAATTTACTTAAAATTAATTAATTAATTATTTTAAATTAATTTTAAAAAGAGGCAATTTGAGTAGCTTATCCCATACCCACTCCAAACCTCATTCCCAGGCCAGTCTTCACTCTAGAGGCTGGAAAAACTAAAACCACCTTTTTATCATCAGTAGCTGTAGGTGACTTCTGACAATGTCCTGGCCTATTAGACATAGCAAAAACCTGTGTGGGTTTTGAGAAACCCTTGTTTTTAATAAATAGGATAGTTATAACTCTTCCCCTCTGTTGCCCACCCTGAATGGGGATGTAATACCTGGAGCTATAGCAAAACTATTGCGACTCTGTGGAAAAGGTCAAGAAAAATACAAGATTGTTATCCCTAATATTATAGTGCCCTCAATCAATGCCAGCTACTGACAACCTCCAGTAAGGAAAATAAATCCCAATTTGTTTAAGCCCTTGTAAGTTAGCTTTTCTGTTTCTTGTTATTGAAGAGCATTCCTAAGTGATACATTTATTTATGGATGTTTTCAAAGGAAGGACGCTTAAAGGAGCCCCTCTGCCTTTACCACCAAGAAGATGAGTCAGCTCGGTCCTGGATCTTCCCAGCATGACCTGGACCTCCCAGCTCTGCTTGGGGCCCCACACTTGCCTCATCAGCCCCCAGGTGAAGGGCCCAATACTGCTTACTCAGCACAAGACAAGTCTAGGCCCCTGGGCTGAATGCCAAAGAAGTGAAAAAGACAGCTTTGCCCTGCCGTCCCACTGCCCTCTGTCCCCTGAGGACCCCACCCGTGCTCCTGAGACAGGGGCCAGGTCTCGGGCTCCACTCCTGCTGACTGCACAGCTGCTCTGGAAGCACGCTTCCGTCTGCGCTCTCTCAGCTCTCCTCTCAGGGCTCCTGGGAGCAATGAGACCCCACCTCACGAGGCTGCCCAGACAAACTCTGGGGATTCAGGCAAGGCAGAAAATACAGAGTGAACCCCAGGGAGTAAGCAGTGAAACCAGAGTCTTCCCTGTGTTATTCCTTTCCCACCTTTGTGAGGGGATGTTAATTCCCTGGTTAATCCTTCCCAATTGCTCCTTCTCTCCCCTTCAAGCGTTCCTCTGCTTTTCCTTCTTGGCCTGCCTTCCAAGAATCCTCCATCTTCTATTCTTCTCATTCTCATCCTTTATTCAATTTTAAGGCTTCCAAACCTCCTGAAACCACAGGTCTCTTTCCCCAGCCCAGCTGTCCCTCCTAAGCAGCCTCAAATACCCAGCTATTTCTTTTACATCTGTACTTGGGCTCTATAACTTTACATATTCAAAACATAAATTTTTCTTGTCCCCAAATCTTCCCCTACTCCTTCATATCTTAATGGCGCCAATACCCACTAAATTAATTTCCTGTTGCTACTATAGCAGATTATATCAATAACCTCAGATATGCAGATGACACCACCCTTATGGCAGAAAGTGAAGAAGAACTTAACAGCCTCTTGATGAAAGTGAAAGAGGAGAGTGAAAAAGGTGGCTTAAAACTCAACACTCAGNCAAGGAGTTGGACACAACTGAGCCATTGAAATGAACTGAACTGAACTGATAGAGACAATATGAAATGAAAAGAGGTCTTTGGACTCCTAAAATTCTACTGGTAGGAAGCAGGCTGAGAAAACTATTCAGCTGCAAATACAAGGTAGCTTTCATGAAAAAGGAAGGATGACACAGAAGTCAGAACCAAGTGCTCAGAGGGGAAAGCCGTGAGCCATGAGGAGTTATTCTTGCTGGATTTCAGAATTGCTGCGGACTACTTTCTCCCATTTTGAATAACTATTTTATGCCTTTCCCCCATTTTTTATTGGGTGTATCATGAGGGAAGGGTGGTGGTCATCTCTTTGTTTAACTGGTCAAGGGAACATTTCTTGGGAGCTGTCCTGAAGGACCCACACCTGAGGCGCCTTATCAGCACTGGGACTTGACTTAGATGATGAAATATAGCTGATGCTGTAATGGGGTGGGGCTAGGGTCTCGAGGGGTGAAATGAAGTGTCACTCAGTCGTGTCCGACTCTTTGCAACCCCATGGACTGTAGCCCGCAAGGCTCCTCTGTCCACAGAATTCTCCAGGCAAGAATGCTGGAGTGGATTGTCACTCCTTCTCCAGGGGGTCTTCCCCACCCAGGGAGTGAACCTGAGCCTGCTGCAATGCAGGCAGACTCTCTACCATCTGAGCCACCAGGGGCGCCTTTGAGGGGTGGGGTGAGTGCCTTTGGTATGTGAGAGGGATGTGAACACTAGTGGCCAGAGGGCAGAGGTAGCCAGCCTCCACAATGGCCCCCAGTGATTCTGGCTTCCTGAAGGTCACACCTTTGTGTAGTTTCTTGCACACTGCACCACTAGCATAAAAGTGATGGCATGCCACTTCTGAGATAGCTTATCAAAGACTCTCTGTATCTTTCTTTCTGTCTCCATCTCTGTCTCAGATTACTCATCTGGGCAAAACCAGCTGTTGTGAGTAGCCCTAAGAAGAGGCCCATGGGTGAGGAAGAGAGACCCTGAGCCAGAAGCACCCAGCTAAGTTGCTTCCAGAATCCTGGTCCTAAGAAACTATGTAAGATAATGTGCTCCTTGTTTTACATCCCTAAGATTGGGGGTAATTTGTTATGAGCAATCACTGTTCCAAGAAGCTAGAGAGGTAGGAGTGAAGGGATCATTTAATGCAATTCCCCTGCTCTCAGGTCTGCAGACAGCTCTGCTGACTGCGGCCTCCTTTGGAAGCAGTTTCTGCTGCCCAGGATGCCTTCTTTTCACAAGGCCAACTTTCTTATTCAGCTCTGGTTAGAAAGGCTCTTCTGGCTGCCCAAACCGAAGTAGTGCCTCTGTCACTCATTCCCATGCCTTCCGGAAGTGATTCTCTGCTTGCTGTTTATCACTCTGATAGGTTTATTTGCTTGGTTTTTACTGTCTGTCTCCCCCACTAAAATAGAAGCCCCATGAGAGCAGGGAGCCAGTCGCAAATAGTGCTTGGCATAAATAAATGAACCCTGAAAGAAAATGAAAGTGAAAGTCGCTCAGTCATGTCCGACTCTTTGCGTCCCCGTGGACTATATAATCCATGGAATTCTCCAGGCCAGTGGTCCTGGGACCTCAGCGAACTAACACTGCATTACCGTCTTCCCTGCAGTACCACCACATAAAGATTGCAAAGCCAAGTGGTCGATGGCATTGGTGATAGGAGGGAAGGGATGATTTAGGCAGGAACAAAGTGGGGGAGAAGGGCCACTGCTGACTTGGATGATTTAAGACTCTCCCACTTTGAAACTTCTAATAGCCCCGCGCATGCACAACATTCCTCTCAACCCCAACATAAAAAGCCCTTTCTCAGAACAAAAGCCCTGTCACCGAAAGCACTTATTTAAGAACAATAACAGCAAAACACACAAGGTACAAAAACATTTTTCTCAAAAAATTTTTCCACTTCAATTCAACAAATATTTATTTTCCTGAAACAGCAGAGATATACAAAGAAATAGAAAAATGTGGATTTTTTTTTTCTTATTTTTGATTGAAAAGTACAACCAGAACAACATTACCCCAGTGAGCCAAAGCACAATGGGAAAGCATTTTTAAAATAGAAAAGAACTTTAATCTATAAATATACCAAGATAATTTTAAAACACAGTGGAGCCTCAACTCTTGAGTAGGGAGTGGGTCTCATATGCAGAGGTAACTTGTGTCCTGACTGCCCAGTGGGCTGCTTGGGGATACAGTTTAATCCAGGGTGAACCGCCATCATCACATTAATAAACCATATGACATAGGGCACACGCAAAGCTATCACAATATCCCTAACTCACAAAAGCCACTGTGAAAAGTCCTTTAGAAAGCAAATGAGAGTCCAGACAGCTTTGGGTTAGGAAAGAACAGCTTCCTTATCTGTAAAATGGATTTGGAGACTTCTACTGTTCCTTCAGGTGCTAATGGACTGTGACTCTAAAGGGGTTTCTCAGGAATCTAGGGGCAAACATGGTGGAGGAGATATAAAAATCCCATTATGGCCCTTATAGTTACCTCTGTTAGAAACAAAGAACAAGGCCAAGTGAATTGCAACCCCAAAACTCCTCTAAGGAAAACCAACGGGCCCAGCCCAAATCCCAGCAGGAGTGTGGAACCTGTGTGCTGTGATGCCCTCACAGCTTTCAGTCCTGTGTGAAATTGATCTCTGCCACTGCTGGGCTCTACGTGTATGCCAGTTAGTGATCTATGTCATATAGAATGTGGATCTGGGCAAGTTGTGTGAGATGGTACCAGGCCGATCGCCAGGTAGAGGCGAGAGGCTTTGTTGAACATGAGAGAACTTGGCCAGGATGGTGTCAGAGAGAGAGAGAGACTACCCCAATGGTGACAAATTGGGGTGAGAAGGAGACAACTGCAGATGCTTCTCACAACGTGGACTGCAGTAGTGATGCAGTAATTAAGCTGACTTGTTTAGTGCTGTTTGACTTCTTTCAGTCCTTTCAAGGACCCTGCCAACAACTGTAGTATTTGAAAAGGAGCCATGAAGAGTGTAAAGAATGCCCTCCACAGAGGGCAGCTATCCCCGAGTACCTGCCTTACCAGGCAGAGAAGTAAGGCTCCACTCCCGTTTTCTTCCTGGCCCTGGAGCTCTTCTTGTTGGCCTCCACCGCCTCTCCCCCTTCTCCGGTCTCTGTCCCCACCCCACACCCGACCCACACAGACGCACCAGGTGGGACTGCATTGTCCTCTTCCCATCCTCCCCGCAACCCTACACCCACAGACAACTCTCTCGTGAAGCCTATTCCTCAGCTTAATTATTTGCAGACCTTCTTTCTCTTTTGAGTCTCTCAAAGTCCAAAGACTCTTAAGATAATTAAATCTGGAAGGACAAGAGGAAGAGACCCACCCCAGAGCTCTTGGAATGGACTGGGCGATTAGGTCATAATTGGTCTTTATCGTTGCAACTGAAGAGTATTTATCCCACTTCCAGTGGAGCTTGTGTTACCTGCCTGCCCCACCTCCAGCTCTGCGAAGCTGAAGCTGACCTGCCTTGGACTTGGAGTCCTGCCCTGGGCCTGCACTGAGAAACCAGGGCCGGTGGCTAGCCTGTTTCCTCATTTTCTCTCCTTGTGGGACTCAGCAGTTGTGTCCCTGCCCCTGCCCCAGACTTGACTGCCTTTCTCACTCTCCTTGTCATTGCCATGCCTTCTGTCTTTCTGGTCATCTCAGCCCTGGGCCTCCCACCCTGTTTAGCCCTCCTGAGGACCACGGCCCAGAGTCAAAGAGAAGAACTGTTCAAGTGCATCCCGGCAGTGGCCTCCAAACCCAAGTTCAGAGAGCCTTTCCAGGCATGCCCTGGAAAGAAAACCAGGGCAGGAGGAATGAGTTTCCCTAAAACCATATTTAGATTCCCCAGTGGAGAGATGAGTGAGAGGGTGGAAAACAGGACCATGAACTATTTCAGGTCCACTCTGAATCTAAGGGGCAGAGGTTCCTACTGGGAAGGAAAAAAAAAATCCTCCCTGGAAAACAATGGAAAAAGAAAAAATTCTTCTACCCACAGATAAATTTCCTAGGGATGTTCTTGGCCATGGAGATTAAGTATATTATTGTTGTGATAATAATACACTTCATAGAGTACTCTAAAATATTTTCACTGATTTCATCCTGCTCATCAGCATGACTTCATTTGTCTAGAGTGATAAGACAGGCAGAGAGGAGCTCCATGTTCTAAAGGAGAGAACTGGAAACAAGAACGGCTAAGCAACTTGCTCAAGTCAACACCAGAATTCAAGTTCCCTGTCTCTCTGCCTCAGATCAATTATGCAATTTCCTTGTGGTAATATGGGTGTCTCCCCTGGAAGGTTATGACTTTCACTTGCTGGGTTGAAATCTCCTGGTAGGAGACACAGAGTTTACCAGACAGGGGATTCAAGGTCTCCTGCTTCTTTTAAGTGTCAGGTCCTTCCTGGGCCCCCACCCCTGCCCCATGTCATCTTTAGCGAGTGGTAACCCATTTGAAAATCCCCTGATGCTGGGAAAGATTGAGGGCAGGAGCAGAAGGGGACATCAGAGGATGAGATGACTGGATGGCATCACCGACTCAATGGACATGGGTTTGGGTGGACTCCAGGAGTTGGTGATGGACAGGGAGGCCTGGTGTGCTGCAGTCCATGGGGTCTCAAGAAATTGGACACGACTGAGCGACTGAACTGAACTGAACTGAGGAGTAAGATGTTTTCATGAAAAAGATTTTAGAGTTGGTGATGGACAGAGAAGCCTGGCGTGCTGCAGTCCATGGGGTCACAAAGAGTCAGACACGACTGAGCAACTGAACTGAACTGAAGTGAACTGAACCCCTCAAAGGGCTCCCCAGGTGGCACTAAATGGTAAAGAACCCACCTGTCGATGCAAGAGACATGGGNCAAGAGTACTGGAGGGGGTAGCCATTTCCTGTCCTAAAGGAGAGGGAATTACAGGATCTATTTGAATAAAATTAATTCTTTATGCTATCTAGCCTCTAGCTTGGGAAAGAGACCATTTTGATAGGGAAGTGTCAAGAGCTTTTAGGGCTTTTAGGGTGAGTAAAGACGGTTAATTAAACAGTTCTCTTTCACTTTGACAAATCACAGCAGCACCGGATTTGTGGGGTACTAGTGGGCTCACAAGATGCTGACTTTCTGGAGGTGGTTTCTGCTATGTGCCTCAGACCTGGGATTAGGTCACTTTGAAGGTTAATTGTCACATCACCAATCTGCAGCTGGAAGGGCCCTTGCAGACCTGGGAAACAAGATACCATCAAGGCTGGTTTGTGCAGAACACTGAGCCTTGCCTTCAAGCAGGAGAAAGGAAGGCGAGCAGGGGCTGCACAGGAAGGATGCCAGCCGGGCAGGGGGGCGCTTGCATTCTCACACCCGTCAGAACCTGCATCTCTGTGCAGAGCAGAGACCACAAGCATATACCCATCACTCAAACTGAAGATCATGCTGGACCTCAGTTATCCCGAGCAAGGGCAGCACAAGGTGGCCGACTCTAAACTTTGCCCTTAACAAAGAGAAGAGCGCTTGGGATTGGAGCCAGCTCTGGAGCTGATACATAGGAACTCTTTCTGGATGCTCCCCTTTGACTTTATACTCCTTTGAACAATCCATTTGATTTATAACTCGTGTAAAAATAAGACTAAACAAAAATTACTTACCAGACACCAGCAATATGTACAATATTATTCTAGACTGTAAGGACTTAAAAAACTATGAAATCTGCATTTTTATACATATTCATACTTTCCAAAGAGTTTTCAGATCCTTGCAAGATTTTATCCTTATAACTTCTGCTTATCCTGTCCAACGAGTGTTCTCATACTAACTTTATCTTGTTATATTTATTTCAATATTTATATGTATTAATTTTTGAAGTTGCATGCATTTATACTTGTCTATCTTTGATATATGTTTAGGTGTGTACATCTGATGTTATACTGATTCTTAGAGCAGGTACCTTTATTAACCAGTTGCCCTAAAAGTTTCCTGAGGACTGGAACTCTGTTTTATCCAATAGATTGAGAAGCACT